TATTATTATTATTATTACAGTATGCAGAGTTGATGTGTACACTTATTTTTCTTCTTCATTCATATTATAACAATATATTATTAACGTGCTTCCTGTGTGTTTGTTTGATCATTAATCATTGATATAATAACTTAATATTGTCACACTGTGCAGAGCTATCATACATGAAAAATTCCGCTATTATCATAATAATATTATATTGTGCCGAGATATTTTAAATAATGCACAAAATAGAAACACCTACAAGCGGGATAAACAAGTAAATGATACATTTAGATGAGTCCGATAAATAAAATCTACTCAACGAATGCAAAGTAATTTATTATTTAACAATTTTTTTTTCGCTCAAAAGCACAACTATGAAAGCCTGCAAGTTCGTTATGGTACTCCAAAATGTACGACGGATATAATATATTTTCGAGTCACAGTAAAAATAAAAATGTAAAACACTAAAAATTTCAAAACATTTAATTTTTCATGACTTAAGATTTCCTTCTTTGAAAAATAAAATAAATAATGAGTGGCGTAATTTAATTTCAAGTTTATATGTTTTAAAAGTTATTAACACGAAACCACTTAAAACGAATATACAGTAAACAATAAATAATACGTTTGTTTATTTTTTTATACTTTTCTTTGGTTCTAATATAATTATTATAATTTTCAAACATGTAGAATATTTTATCCGGCCTCTTTTACGACTTGAAAATCGTACTGTATCATACAATCAGACTTAGGTACGTATAATATTTGTATAATATTAACGTTTGAAATATTACATTAACTTACGTTTCAAAGATAAGCTCGATTCAGGATACTTTATTAAGTTTAAAATGTTCAATTGCTAGTGGGTAAAGTAGCGAAATTACAGAACGTATCAAAAATAATAATTATATAATATAATATAATGTATTGTGTTGACTACACTATTCTGTCACAAACACGCTTATTCACTATATGAATGCAATAATTTCGCTATCTAACCTCATGAGTCATGGTTAAAAAAAAAATTGCAAACTTATGAAAAACATTTACAAATGTATAGGTACGTTACCATTAATTTAATATTGATTGTCTTTGGGCCCAATTGTGCATGATATTTGTATGATATTATTCAATATATATATATTTATGTCTAATATAATTTGCCTATGTATAATATAAAATATTATGCTCATTAAGGTAAGTTGTTATAAGATCATTCAAAGTGTAAAATGAATAATTAAAATAAACACACCAATACAATTGATTGAAAATAATATAAAATGAAATCGTTATCGCTCATAAAATGTATTTGTGTACACTGAATTATTTGCTAAAATATTACATCAGATATATATATATATACACATATATAATACACTTACATATAGTAGGTAGTTATATAAATACAGATCAGATACTAAAATAATACGTAATAAACACATTATAATACTATTTACGCTCGTTAAATTAATATTGTTTCAGGTTTAGTGTACACAATGGCGGATTTTCAATTTTTTTCTGTGAAGGGGATCCTATAACAGTACATTTGAAATATAGGTTTATAAAAAAATCAACAATAAATATTATGAATAATATTATATTTAATAAATAAATATATAGGTGTCTGTGAGGGGGGGCAGTACCACTGGACCCTCTCACCCTCCTCCTCAAATCTGTCACTGAGTGCATAATACAATAATGCGCCTCCCTATGTACTATACACTTTTATAATACTGTCAAGTGTCCATACATCTATTTAAGCATGCTTATACTTTCGTATGGCAAATATGCAGCAATCGCGAATCGGTGGCAAAGAGTTAGGTATTATTAAAGACATTCAGACAACGTCAACACACTTGGAATATTAACTAAAAATTTAGTTTTATTCAAATAATAAGCATATGTTATACATTTTGTCAACATTTGTTTCTTATTAGAATAGACTAGTATATAATAGGCGAGCTGGTAATAGCGGTGTCCGGCACTTCTGGCGTGGCTGGTCATTACACTGATACATCGAATTACAGTACTAAAATAAATATGAGACTATGTCGAAATTTGTCTCATTGTGTCGGGTGTAGTGTTGAGGCAAAATTCGAAAACTGCAGATAACGGTTTTATTTGCGCTATAGCTTACGAGACAAGTCTCGCCGTTCATATTTTTGTTTTATTTTATTTCAAGTATAAGTTAACTCAGTTATCGACGTCCCGTCATCGACCGCCGCAAACTCGTTATCGTGGTCGGTTTTTAATTTACGGTTTGGTTATTTCTGGTGTGATATTGTCTAAATATGAGTATCAATTGCATTGTCATTATGCCTGATTTTGTGTACAAATATGTCTCCCCCCGCGTCACTGCGACGGATAATAGACATGTTCTATTACAAAATGATTTGTAAAAATATTTTATATTTTATACGTTGCATACTTTCGTATTATACTTATGAATAGCTATTCCATCGCCTAACCGACTTGTATAATATGTCAAGCACGGACACCCACTTCAGTGGCACCCTACATCCCGCCAACACAGAATATTGCGATCACGTGGTCGATATAATAGTGAAACGAGGAAATAATGAATTTATCGAGTTTCGGGAGAATTAATATATAACAAAAACTATTATTATTGCATAATATAATATACGCCGATGTTTGTGCTGTGCCCGAAATAATAATTTTGCCAGACTCCGAGTACTCGAACCCCGTGGTATAATTGCGTTTATGTAGCGGAAACGAGGGTGAGCGATATAAATATATATAATAAAATAAAAGGTATATATTGTGTGCATGTGTGTGTGTGTGTGTGTGTGTGTGTGTGTGTGTGTGTGTGTGTGTGTGTGTGTGTGTGTGTGTGTCGTTATTACTTATTAATATGACTCACTGGTACATATCATGCCACTGACTAATCTTCTACTTTTACTTTTTTCCGGAGTTTATAAATTATTAATGTTCAATTAGTTAAGAAAAAAATTTAAAATACATATTTATAATATTTTATCATTTAAATTTTAAAATTTTAAATACAATATAGTAAAAGTTAACTGTAAGTGTGTATTATACATTATCGTAAAACCCGTAGATTTATTATTATTCTTGTTGAAACTTTTGACAAGTATGTCACCCGGAGGATACTACTGTCTATTAATCGGGCGTAGAAAAAATCGCATCAACCCAAATTAATATATTATTGATTCGTTTTTATTATTATTAAAAGCTTTTGACGTAGTTAACCGAGTTATTTAAAAACTATAACAATATTATAATTCATTTATTTTTTCCCCCTTGATTAAACCATGTAGAAATATTATTCATAAACTTGGACAGTCTTCATCAGGTTTGTTGCAGAGTATCGAGGTGGAAGTGAGGTCACACTACAAAATGTAATAATATCATAATATTCTCTTTATCGTAATTTAATCTGACACGATGTGTTAACAAAAATGTATCTCAAAACAGTTTGCGTATACGAAGGTATCGTATATTATATTTTATAGGTAGGTATAGGCGTTTGGTAGATTTTTTTGACTAAATATTAATAATTGGATGGACGTCACTCAAAACCGGTATAAAACTGCAAAATCCGTTTGGACTGTATTGTTGTAACGACTGGCTACTGTAGACAATCAAATTACCAGAACGTCACCAGAGAGCTTATTTATAATGTTTTCAACCTTTCGCCGTCCCGATAAACGCCGCAACGTCAACAACCGTTGACGTATCATTAAAGACGAGTTAAAGCTGCCGTGTGAAAATCATTCTAATAATATTTATCGGAAATGAACAAGTATTGGGGTTGTAAACAAGTTATTTGATGTATGCAGCAAATGTTGTGCTTGAAAATAATGTTTTAGAACATTCAGAAAAATATACAATTTTCATTTAAAACCATGTCCTATAGTAACAACGTAAAGGGATAACTAATTAACTACTTGTTCGATCTTCGATTCTTGTACATTTTCCGGGGGAAAATATTATTGTGTTTAAATCACCATTGTACATATTGTAACTAAAAAAAATAAAGGATAAAAAATTGAAAAAATAGACTTCATTATTATGTAAACAATGATATTTTTTCAAAATACATGTATGAAAATCAGAAATTCTAGTAAATATTGTTTACACAATTTGAAGTTATTATACTAAACAGAATTATCAACGTTAGTATTTTTAATTTTTTACTCTTTTGAATGCTATATGAAAGCATTTATTTTAAGATTTGGTCAAGCAGAATATTGTTCTAAGAATATCAATTTAAAAATTGAATCTGATGAAATTGTAGTTAATTAGATATCCATTTCCAAAGTATTGATAAGTGGAGAGGGGCCCAAAAAATGTTGCTCCACTCTTCTATATTAATTTAAACTTTGACACTTGAAGTTAATTTCTAATTGGTACTCTTTCGAAATGGAATTCTTACGCAATGAAATTCTCAGAAAAATATAATGCACTGGAATAATATGATATTAATTATGTTTATAATTTTTCCCAGAAATTACAACCAAATAAAACAGTGAATAATGGATTTTTTTTATATTTTGATAGTGACACACGAAAACACAACTTAGAAAGCTAATATTTCAATTTCAGAAGAGGATCTAGTGCCAAGATATTATACTCTTATAGTGTAAAGGTTAACAATACCAAGACTGAGTTCAAACATTTTCACAACAGTTATTCCTTAAAAGGTGAAAAAAAAATTTGGAATAATTATTAATGTTTTTTTTTTTTTTTTTTTAATTTGTTAAAACATTGATATCAATACGATTGTGGTACATTTATTGCGATACAAAAATATATAAGAAATGTAAGCCTATGCCTATGTAAAGTTGCTCACGAGTGTTGGTTAACAAGCTAAAAGTAAAACATTAAATAAAACTAGACTATTTAAAGTCTAAAACTTAAATTGACACAAATGTAAACATTGGTATCTACACATTTTTTTGTAAAATTATATTTATATTTTTCCGCCAAATAAATATAATGATTAATAACTAATATAGTTTACACTTTACCTTATAAGAACCGAGGTCATCCACGATACACACTATTGTTGCTTCTCTGCCAACCGGAACCGTAACATTTGTTATCGGTTCAGCGAATTTGGGCATTTCTGAAAAATAAAAATGAATTAATAAATTATAATAATATACATTACCATATATTCGTTTTTATGTTATTATAAATATGTTATATTTATTTTTGTTTTTTTTAGATTCTGAGGGGAGCGAATGTATTGATTTTACAATTATGTTTTTTTTTGTCTTTTGTCTGTGGGTAAACACATTTTAATTTTTATAGTAAAAAAAACGCTTCAATTTTCAATTTCTATAATCTAGTTAGTACTTCTTGGAGGGGGGGGGGGAGATCAAGAGTAAAAATTCACTGAAGTTTTGGAAAAAACAAATAAAAAATCAAAGACAATTTGTGAATTTTTAAGCAAAATCAGTTTTTGACCAAATGTTATTTTTTTTGGTGTAACTCGAAAAAGAATAACCGTAGATACTTGTAATTTTAATAAAATGTTTATTTTATCATTTTCTATACTTAATAAAATGTTTACTCTTTAGTCGTTTAAATTTATCAATGATGTATAAATTATATGATGCAAGAATTTTTTATAAGTATTTGAAGTTAAAATGTTGACAAAATTCGTCGTATCATGAAAACTTCAAATTATTTTTTAGCAAAATACTATAAAGTTCCTCGTAAGTAATTCATATAAAAACCAATATTCAGAAAAAAATATGCATGCGTCATGGACCTTTTAATACAGAAATTTGATTTTCACATGTGGAAGAAATAAGATATTTAAACGAAGCTATTGCACAGCAGTGCGGTACCAACTTGACCACTTTTTTTGAGACTATATTATGCTTCGATAACATACCCATAGGTAATTTTCATATAATAACATTTTGAAATACTTTTCGAACTTAATAATATTTTATGTTCAGGATAATTGATGATCTATTAAGCATTTGAAAAAAAACAACCCTTTAGAATGCTTTGCAAGTTCATACGATAGGCAACATAATATCATATTTTTCAATGTACGAGTAGTCGAGAAAACACCATAAAATGTTTTAAATTGATTTCAGATGACATAATTCAATATAATATTAAAAAGATTTATTTATGCTCGTCAACCGTCGCAAAGGATTGTTGCATCTAAAAAGATTGACGAATGAATAGATTTTGTGAGTTAAACGAAGCATACTTGATGGATGCAATCTATATTTACGTACATTTATTGCACTAAAAATTTCTAATTCATATCATTGTGACATTTTGTTTTTTTAACGAGTATCACCCATATATAATAAATGTTTTATGAATATTGTTGAACTGGCTGAAAAATGATTTAGAAATCTATAGATGAACATTTCATATAAACTTAGGTCGATTTCTTACAAAAAAAACAATGCATTTAAACCCTAATTAATACACTGCCATGGATGGTTATTGGAAAAAACTTAGCTAAAAGCTTCAATAAGATTATTTGATGTGCGCAACATAAATTTTAACATATTTAACCAATTTAATAAATTCAATGAGTTCAAAATTCAGATTCTTATTTTTAATTTTTAATTTATAATATTTACTTTCTGTGTTTACCTTTTAAACAAAATAAGTATTTTTTTTAAATTCATAAAACAAAATGAATACAGCTATTAGGATGAGAAGATTATATTGAAGTATACATTTTATGTGTAACATATTATGATGATAAAATATTTTATTCCTATAATATATGTATATTAGAAATTACCATATGAGCTATATACTTATATAGGTATATTAAAGTACGATATTATGTAACAATTCGTCCGGGGTTTCATAAATCATCTGCGTCAATTATACATTTAATTTTCACACCATTATCCCATTATCACAAATTTATATTATCACATTCAGAAATCAGAATTCATAAAATTGATTCACTCATAAAACACACATGACTACCTACGCAACGCATTACAGTAATATGCATGCATCACGTGAAACTACGGTCAAACTATTGAGCTTTAATATTTAACCATTAAACTGTATTAAAGTAATACAGTTATGTTGTTTAATCGTATTCAAACGTAATGTCACTCCCGTTTTGGTAACAAAAACAAATTGTATTAATATCAAGGTATGACATTATTATATATGATGCAATAATATAGTGAAAAAGGAAAACAATATTGAAACAATTGTAAATAATATATGGCTCACACAAAATACTAGTCCAAACAGTAACAAGTAGGCGAATACTATTGAATCAGTAGGTAATCAAAATACATCCGATTGAGCACACCTTATCAGAATTCTACAAATCCAATAGCAGGACCGGATCGAGCACCACGTCATCTCATTCAACCTGAATTATCACTCACTCAGACCTGGTCAACAACAAAATAAATATTAAAGACCCAATTAAATGTTAAAAGCAAATCTAATGAATGAACCTAGAAAAAAAATGCACTTTAACATTGGGAAACTTTGTTGTAAAACCAAATAAAAATAATCGTGTAACTGACAACATAATATGTAAATATACTTAGTAGTATGTACTGTTATGGTCAGAGCATCCAAAGTTGAGTATCACCTAAAAACAAAATGTTTAAGTTCGTAACTTAAACCGCTCGGAAGCTATCGTATTTTTATTATACTATTATTATTATTGTTATTGAAGTGAAACTTAGCCAGATAAAAATATTAAATACTGGAACGACGAAAACTTAACTTATTGTATACATTTAGGGAAACCAACAATATTTCCATTAATAAATAATATATATATTTATTTACTTGACATCATAGATAATAATCAGCAAGTTTACATTTTTTTCAGATAATTATTTAGTGTTTGAATGATAAGCTGAAACTAATGTAATTTTTCCTAACCATGACACATATATTATAAAATCATGCTGCATTATAGGTATTTAATTATCAACAATCACTCAATTGACAAATCGCCACAGTTGGCCACCCATCCTATCCAATTATATACTATTTTCTATGGAAACGATGGGAAATTATGAAAATCAAAAAATGTCAACAATAATGTTATATTTAATTTTCTGACATCGTAGTATATATATTATAATAATTAAACTCGCTGTAAAGTGTAAATTAAACATAATGTATATCTACTCGACCTTCAGGCAAGATTGTAACTGAAATAAATTCGATGTGTAGGAGGCGAAGGCTTCAACATTTTTTTAAATATAAACACTGCAGGTCACTCATCATTTTTTACTTTTAAAGTACACAATTATTTATACTCGGTATTACTGCTTAAACAAAAATATAAAATTATTCGTAAGTAGAAGAAAGTTGATCATAAAAACATGCTTTTTTACCACAACCTCTTAGTACAATATAGTAGGTAAATAAACAATATTCACAGCTAAAATTTTCTATTTTAAAAATAAAATTGCGTTTTTGGATCGACTCTCCCCCCCTCCCCCGTTACGGCCACGTCATAAGGTGTTTATTGTTTAACTCCAGTGAAGGAGCAAAATTAATGGGTGAAAAAACAAAAAATTAATTCTAATTTTGACTGGAGATTTGAAAGTAAACTTTGTAAGACTTGAAAACTCTGATTCACTTATAAGTTCTAAGAATTTACAGTTATAAATGTTCTTCTAGACATTTGATTAACAATGAATAATGACAAACACAACCAATAACATGACCAGGCACTACTACTTATGCGATATTCATTACACTATCGATGTATACTACGTATCTGTCTAATGTATAGGTTTAATTTTAATTTTAATTTTAATTTTTTATAATTTTTGATTGTAGATAGGTACCTACCTATCTACAATCAAAAATTATATTCCATCTAGTTTCAGTCACCAATCGGCAATTTTCCATAAACCAATAGTATAAAATACTAAACCAATCGAGACATCACTGAGCCATCTGCAAACGATTCTGTACAAATCTAAGAAAATAATAAAATAATAAAAATATTTCAAAGAACAGCTTTTATATAATATTTTTAAAAAAACCTAAATTAGTTAAACGATGTGTTTGTTCTTCCCTTTTTTTCATTTCGTGTATTAAATATCATTCCACGGTCCCGCTACTCCGAAAGATGTTTCATTCATTTTTTGTTGTACCTACTTGCAGCACGCCGATCAGAATTTTTCATTTTTATTTTTTAATATTATTATTCGGCCGATGATCGCTGTCGGTATAAGCCGGAGAGTATGCACAACTTATATTATAGATACCTATTATACTGTTCAGTACTTTACTTGGCGTTACTTGGCTTATGATATTTTAATAAATTGATGGCACCCACATACAAAAAAAACAAAAAACTAAAATCACGCAAATATTATTTTGTGTATATCATACTATTATAATATTATAATATCGCCATTGAACAATTATCGCATATTAAGTGAAAATTCGTATTTCTATATTAGTGTTAAACAATGTCCGATACATAAATGTATATTGTTCGCGATATGGTTACCGTATAATATCGTTGTAATAATTTTCGTTCTATGATCGATATAACATCAGAGTATGTTCCGTAATATTACGAATAGGTTGAAAGGAGTCGATTATATTTACATGGCCAATTATATTAAAACAAGACTATAATATTATTAATTATTATTATTTATGATGTTGGCATACTGCGAAGACACCGTATACACGGGTAACGAGTAATCCGATGGTAAATATTATTATATCGTTAAATTAAAATAATTTATGGTAGAATTTTTTTAGATGAGATCTCCATTAAAAACTCGTTATTATGTTTTATGCATACACAAAACCGATAAATATCGTGAATAAAAATTAAATAAATGTCGGGGTTGTGATAACTCTTTAAACTTGAACTGTTTTGTACAATATTATGTCATTTTCTCATCTGGTTAATGATCGTCAATGGTTGTTATGCAATCTGACATGGCCATCAGTTCAATAAATAACGAAAACCTATTCCCGTAACTGCAATACACTAATAAGATATAAGGCAATATAATTCAATTTTATACCATCATATCGGTTTAAAATTAATTTCTAACAAAGTTTGAAATACCTACATTATTATACGCAATATTACCAATTTAATTAGTCAATTTAGTA